CCTGGCCCAGCAACTGTGGGCAGATGCAGGGGTGGTCACAGCCTCTGTTGTGTGCCTGGTGGCCATTCCCTGCCTCAGCCCCACTGCTTCCAGCATCATGCCCTTCTGCCCCACCAGGCGTCTGAAGAGGAGCAGGCATCTACCCCGGGGTAAGTGGGCAGGTGGGGTCAAAAGTGGGCAGCAGGAACACCAGACCAAGAGATAATTAACCCTGAAGGCAAATAACTTTAGTGGCTCCAAGTGAGTCCAGAAAAATGAGAGAAGAGGGAGGCCAATCAGGCAGGGTGAAGTGTAAGTAAGGTGGTCAGGAAGGGTTGCCCAGGAAGGGGACATTTGAGGAAAGATCTGGAAGAGTGAGGGGAGAACAATTTGGACAGTACAAGGGCGTGCCTAGCTGTGGGAGAAAAGGCAAAGCAGAGAGCAGTTATGAAGTCAGAATAGTGGCAGTTAAGAGGCCTGGAAGGTCATTGCCAGGGCTTTGCTGAGAGGGACCATGTGGGGAATGGAGCCTGTGAGCCGCTCTGCCTGAGTCACATGGCCAGCCTATCGATCATAGACTTTAGGGAACCAGGGGGGATGGAGAGACAATACCGATACTCACGATGAGAAAGGACGGCAGCTTAGACCAGATATAACGATAAAAAGTGGTCAGATTTTGAATGTATTTTCAAGGTGGGACCTATAGAATTTACTGATGGGAATGGCTGTGAGATGTGACAGTGGAGCTAAGTCTGGTTTCAACTTAAGCAGGAGATGGAGTTGCCCTCATCTGAGACAGACCGGGGAGGGCAAATCCAGATGGATTTCATATTTGCTAAGACGGAGATGCCTGGAGACATCTCATTGGCACCGTCGGACGGGCAGTGGCCTGGGAGCAGTGACATTGGAGGCAGTGACAGGGGAGCAGTGATAGTGGAAGTCGTCGGCACAGGGATGGCATTTAAAGCCAAGGGTTGGATGAGCTCACCAGAGGAGGGCAGATCGATGTGGGGACGACAGAGTGGGGGAAGAAGTCAGGTGACTCCCACCTTTCAGCCTTGGGCCCCTGGCTCTCCAGGTCTGAGGTTGGAACACAGGAGGAAGCTGGTTTGGCAGGAGGCGGTGATAACTTTCAGACACACCACGTTGTACCTGTGGACAGCACACAACTCTTCAGTTGTGCAAGTCACTCAGACTTGTGGGCACTATAGGTCTATTTGCTCCGTATCAGTGCTTCTAAACTGGGGACCGTTTGCCTCCTAAAGGATATTTGTCACATCCTGGGAAGCAGGGAGAGGCTGCTCCTGGCATCTCAGGATAGAGGCCAGCATGTTTGCTAAACATCTCCTCCCCACATAACAGTGAAGAATTATCTGATTCAAAAGTGCTAAGGTCAAGAAACTCTGCTCTGTGTGGCATTTAATTGAATGCGGCAGTGAAAGCAAATATGTAGAGAGTGTTTGCTTGGTGTCGGGTCCTAAGCAGAGACTATCTCATTTCATTCTCCTGCTGCCGCCTTCGTTCCTTCCATCCCCCTAAGGGAGCGACTCTGACACACGGGAAAACCAAGTCAAGTCACAGAGCTCCAGCTGCTGGCACTGAGGGCCAAGCCCAGCTTGAGCTCTGAGCTGCTCCAGAGGCCGTGACATACCTGCGAGAGGCGGCAGACGGGATGGAAACCCAGTGTCACTGAGGAACAGTAAAAAGCCAGAAATAGTCACAAGAGCCCCTCATCTTTCATGATGCATTTCTTTTTTTTTTTAAGAATTTTTTTTTTTTTTTTAAGATTTATTTATTTATTTATACAAGCACTGGGTACAGTCAGAAGCGCGGGAGGGTGAGAGAATTCACCAGAGCCAGCGCGGGGAGCAGAGCAGGCAGAAGGACCGAAGTACACTGCTGAGGGGAGCAGCGGGCGGCAGGAGAGGTCTGCGTGCCATGTGGGACCCTCCTCCGGTGGCCTGGGAGCAGGCGGGGATCGAACCGGTGCTGCAGAGGCTGCGGGCAGCTTCGCAACCCAGCACTCAACCGCTGTGCCACCGGGGAGGCCCTCATGATGCATTTCTTTCTGAGATCATCGCTACTATAATTTTTTCTTTAAATCTAATACTAATCTTCTGTAACAGATAAAAAAGTAAGCATAAACAACGAAATGCTTTAGAAAAATTCCACATTTTGTTTTGGTGACTTATTTTATTTTCATTGCATTCTCCCCGTCTCTTCCATAGAGGAAGTTTCCTGTTGCAGAAAAGAGAACATGTTTATAGCTAAACAAATCTGGGCTTAAATCCTGGATCCTCTATTTGTTTAACTTCCTCAAGTCTCTGTTTCTGCATCTATAAAATGGGATCAATAACAGTCCTTCGAGAGGGCTCATGAGAATGAAATGTGCTGAAATATCTTATGTGTCCCTTTACATGTGAAGTGTTTACTTAACATTGAAATGTTAAGTATCTGAACATCATCCGTACGTAAAAGAGTAACTTTAGAGCATACATTAACTCATAGACCTAATTGTAAATCCTAAAACTTTGAAACTCCTAGAAGAAAACTTACATCTTGGAATAAATGATTTTTTTTTAGCCACAAGGCCAATAAAAATAATTTGATAATATACTTGAAAATACACTGTTAATAGAATGAAAAGAAAAGTCACAGACTGGGAGAAAAATCTACAAAACATATATCTGATAAGGGATTTGTAACTAGACTGTGTAATAAACTCTTAGAACTCAATAATGAAAAACTAAATGAGTCCATATCAAAAATTATTAAATGGTTTCAACAGCTATCTCACCAAGAAGATATACAGAGGTCAATTCAGTACGTAAACAGTTGTCTGACATCCCTTGTCACTTGGGAATGCAAATTCAAACAATGCTAAACACACACGCAAGGAAACGATTAAAAGTAAAAAAACGGACCAGCCTAGTGTTGCTTAGAAAGTAGAGGAACTAGAACTCTCATACCCTGCAGGTGGGAACGCAAAGTGGAGCACTCACTTGGGAAAACAGTTTGTGGCAGTTTCTTAAAAGTTGAAAACACTTCTATAAGGATATAATACATACATGAAAATACACGAAAGGTGAAGCACACAGGCTGCTCGTACCAGGAGGGCAGGACCCTACACAGGAGCCCAGCTGTCCATGAGACCGCCTGCCAGCCTCTGGGCAGAGTGGATCCAACTTTGGTGGGAAACTTAGATGAAGTTTATATGACTTGGGTGGCCCTCTTTAGGAAAACGTAAACTGGAGAATTTCAAATTAGTTATAAACATGAGCATTTACTTAGGACAAGCAAGTGACCACAAATCCTTGGAGCCAAGGATCTCCAGGTCTCTTTCTTCTAAGTCATCTTGACTTACTTTTTCAGAAGAGTGGCCTGGAGCACTCATCCATTCCAGGCCTCATGGCCCACATGGTATGGGGGCCCTGACGGGGCCCGAATGCCGTCCCCACCTCAGTGGCATCTCCTGTTCCCCTATGCCTGACCACAGCAGCCGAGCAAGCAGTGCGGACAGCCTTTGGTGGTAGCAGCTCTGCCATCGGCCTTAAGCTCCCTCCCTCTGCTGCCCGGTAAACTGCGTGGGCTCAAGCAGCAGGGCCTGTGTGTGTAGCAGGAGGCTCCAGAAGGCATCCTAGGACCCTGACAGTCTTTTCTTTTTTTGCTCCCCGCCCTTCGGAGCTCAGGCCCCACAGGCCTCTCTAGCCTGCTTCCCTTCTACCCAATCTCCACGCCTTGCTCATGGCACCCCCTCCGCAAGGTCACAACCTTCCCGTGTTCCAGCACTCAGAGCAGCTGCCTTAGTTTCCCCAGTCCTCGACCACATTGCTATGAGTGGTCGACCCTGTCGAGAGATGGTCCCATGTCCAGCTGTGCTATGAGAGCACAACCCTGTCAAGGCTGCTCATTCTTGAAGAGTGATGGAAGCATGGGGTGGGTCAGAGCTCAGAGCTGGGGACTTTGACTCCCTGGCTCTACCATGACTTTGTTGTGTGTGTTTAGGCAAATTCTGTAATCACACTATCCCTTAGTTTCCTTATCTGGAAAATACAGCAAGTGACAGTCCCTTGTTCCCAAGTCATTGTGAAGAAGGAATCCTAGGAGGGAAGGCACGTCTATCAGCTTTGTTCATTTAAGCATCTGCAGCTTCTAGAAGGGCCCCAGGCAGGTGCCAAGAGCTCTGTGAACCCTTGCCACTGTCTGGCCTCCATCCCTGGGCTGCAGGCTCCAGCAAGGATTGCTCACGGTTCGTCATCCCAACTACCTCCCCACCCCATCCCACTGTCTCTGGGACTCACCCCACCCACAGGTGGCCCTGCAAGTACACAGATAAGTTACATATTGTGGGATGTGGAAGGGGGAATACAGAAAGGCAAGGTCATTCTTGAAAAACCCCTTACATTGCCCATAAAGTTCAGTAGAGTTTATTGTATATGTCAAAGATCAGTTTGCTTACACATGAAGACAAGACCAGTGGAACTACTTGTAGGGGACAGAATCAGTTCACAAACAACAGTCTGGACTTCCCCATCCCTCTGCCTTTGGATAATGAGCCTGTGTGTAGCTGTGAGGGGGGCAGGTGGGGAATCCTGAGTCATGTGCTCATCCTGGGTTACACTCAGACTTCTGTAACATTAATGCTTATCTTCGGGCTGGGAGGGACAGTGAGTGTGCACTTAAGCTGTGTAAAGTGGATTAAACAGAATAGTGAGGCTACTCTGGGCGCCAGACTTCTCTGAGCTGACTTAAATCTCTCTTTTTCTGATAGCATCCCAAGACGCTTTGAATAATTTTTATTTTGATATAGGAAAATAAAAAAGACTAAAGGAGAAAAAGAAAAAACCCCAAAGGGCGGAAGACAGATGTGTTAGGTGTGAAAGGGATGTGCTATGAAAATAGAGCCCAACAGTCCAGCTGCTGCGGAAAGGATTTGCCAGATGGCGGGAGCACTGGGGGCGAGCACCCTGGCAATGCTGCGCAGGGCTCCCTGCAGTAAGCTGTGTCTCCCTGTCTTGCAGGTGGTGCCGGGGAGCGGGAGAAGGTGCCGACCAACCCCGAGGCGCTCCTGCTCATGGCCAGCTCCCAGCGGGACATGGAGGACTGGGTACAGGCCATCCGCCGGGTCATCTGGGCCCCACTTGGTGGAGGTACTGCCCGTAGCTCGCATGCTCACCCTCTAGAACCCTTGCCTCCAGGTAATGAAGCCTCTTTGTACCTCACTGAGCCTGCAAGATCTGTCTCACTCGGCACTTGCAGGCTGCACCCTGCACTTCTTACGACAGGTGGGCAGTGTTGTCCTCTTCTGCTGCTGGCCCTCAGGAGTCACCCTCTGGGGCACCAAGCAGGCTCTGGTGGCGAAATCAGGGCCATTTCTCAAAAGCATGCCCTCCTCCAACCAGAGTCCTGTGGCTTCTGTCTGTTTGTTCCATTGAGGTCTTGGGGATTTCAGATTTTGTTTTGCTGTAAATTGAGGAGCCATCAGGCCCCTGCTGGACGCTAAGTGGGTGTGATGTGGCCTGCATATACCCCAGAAGTGGGCAGTGGCAGGATCATAGTGGATGCCCGGGTGCGGTGCCATTGTCTCTGCTGGGCCTGGAACCCCTGAGCTGCTCATGAATCCTGTTCTCTAACCTCATCTGAAAACAGCTGCCATTTACTCCCATCTTTATTCAAGATACTAGGTTCCCAAAATGTATCAGGTTGTATTCCAGGCACTAAAAATTCAGGGGTAAACTCAGTTCTTATGCCCCACCCCTCCCTTCCACTGGCCTGCAGGAATCAGATGATCATACTTGATGGGTCATGTGATATCCATAGTGAGAAACACACAAGCAGAGAAAAGCTGAGTGAGAGGACACGGGGGCATTATGTGAGCCATCCTGGCCCCGCCAGCTTAATGAAGCCACCAAGAGAAGGGCCAAGGGAATGCTGGGGGGAGAGTGTTCAGGCAGCAGGACCAGCAAGTGCAAAGGCCCTGGGGTAGGAATAAGTGATGGAACCTGAGCAATCTCAGAGAGGCCACGTGCCCTGAGGGAGTGAGGGTGGGAGCAAGGAGGACCTGAGGCCAGAGGTCACCGAGGTCTTGGGGACATGGTGGGGAGTTCATGTTTTGCTTTGTGGTAAATCAGTGGAGGCACCAGGCGGGCTCTGAGCAGGAGACAGACCTGATTTGGGATATATAAAAGTAGCCACCATATGAGGGGCGGACTCTGGAAAGATAAGAGTGGGTGCAGCCGGCAGGGACAGTCATCAGACAGACTGGAGGTGACAGGGACAAGAGCGCGGATGGGAACAGAAGTAATGGTGACGACGCTCCAGCGATCTGCATCCAGGTCTTGCCCATGACCTGGACGCAGCCTGTGAGGGAAAGGAAAGGTGACTCCCAGCCGGGCAGTTGCTGTCTCTGCAGGTTGGTGTCCATATGAAATCACCACGAAAGAGCTTTCAGCAGCGCTTCCTGGCTGCCCTGAGGATCAGAGTCTGGGGCCTTCGGGCTCGCAGGGCCCTGGCACGGGAGCCCTGGCTGTGCTCTGTCTCATTGCACAGTGTTCTTTAGTACATGAGCCTGGCAGACCTTCACCTTTGGGGGCGCATCCTCAGATCTTGCATGCCCCACAGGTGGAGCCCCTCCCTTCACCTCTCACCTGACCAGCTCTCCTCTCCCCTCCCTGGCTGCGGCTGGCCTGAGCACCTCTCACAGAACCACAAAGCCCTCATGTAGAAGAGTGTAACAACTTTGAAAGTCAAAACTCTGGCCTTCCTCATGAGTCATGGCCACCCTGCCCCCCACCGATTGCACTGATTGGCCCACAGTTAATGGCCTGAGAAGACCTCCATCCAGGGTGTCTGCAGTCTCCAGGGACTTCCCCAGGGCAAGGTGGTTGAAAGTGAGCCAGTGGGACAGAAGGGAGCTGGGAAACCAACTGGGCAGCTGGACTATGATTTATGACAAGAAGCATTTTGCATCCTGGAGGAAATTATAACATTTTTCATGATCTTGGGGCAGAGAAAGATTTTTTAAATGAGTTATGAAAAGCTTTAATCTTTTAGGAAAAGACTTAAGAAGTTATACCACATATAATGAAGAACATCTGTTCTGTAAAAGATAGATTAATAACAATTCAACCCATAGTTGGGAGAATGTATTTGCCACACATAGCACCATCAAACAACTTAATCCTCAAAGCCCTACAAACCAGTAAGGCAAAGGCAGATGAGCCAGAAGACACACAGGCAAGAGACTTGCACAGCTACTTTGCAAAAGAAGAAATCCTGTTGACCAATGAGGCCATGGTGTTCAGCCTCATTAGTAATCAGGGAATGCAAATTAGACCACAAAGGGCTACTTCTACTCACCCACCAGAATGACTAAATGAGGACAGGTGGTTCCCAGTGGTGACATGGATAGAGAGACACAGACATTTGTATATATTGCTAGGGAAATTGTTAGGCCGTTTTGCTACTTCCAAAAGCAGTAGCTCTGCCCACCTGTGTCCCAGCCATTCCAGGGCTGTGCATGTCCCAAACCAAAGTGTGCACACAGGCATGCCCGGAGACGTGCACACGGCAGATGTGACGGCAGCCTTATTTATGATGGCCCGACACTAACCCAGTGTTCAGCTACAACACAATGGATAGATTCTTACAAAGGAAAGCTCCAAAGTGAGAATTAACTCCAGCTCCGCCCAGCCTCCTGCGTGAATCCTAAAAACATACTGCAGGGCTAGGGAAGAACAGACACAATTGTAGCATGCTGTGTGTGTTTTATACAGTGTATATAAAGTTTAAAAAATAGGGCAAAAGTCAACCTTATTATTTATGGACAATTATCCAGCAAAAATATAAAGAAAAGCAAGGAAATGAATGGTGTGAAAGTCAGGATAGTAATCACAGGTGCACATTGTACACTGTGGGTTCATCTGTACATGTAGGCTTTAAATACTTCTCTGCATATGTGCATATTTCACTGTATAAAGGAGCAAGTGATAAAAGAAGAGAACTAAGCATCAAAAAGGCTAAGTAATTGGCCCAAGACAATGCGGCTAGTCAGGGAGCAGAACTAAGAAACGAAGGTGAGAGATGTTCTGACCCCAAAGACAATGCTTTGTCCCAGCCTAGCTGGGAGCTGTCATAGGATGTCTTCGTTTGCTGGTCCCCAGGTGAGTGTGCATGCTCTCTCTCACCCTCATCTCCCTCACCCCACTATCCTTGCCCAGCACTGGGACCATTTCCACAATCCCAGTAGAGCCCGGATTTGGCCCTCCTCCAGGCCCCCGAGTCTATCAGCCTTCTCAGGCTCTCTGCGCAAGAACTTACAAGAATTAAAACAAGAAACTTCATCAAAGGCGCTTATCTCCTCTCCAGGAGCATAGAGGAAATGCAGAAATCCCAGGGGTTAGTAATAGCGGACATGTCTGGGCAAGCATGGGCACTCCCAGGTGGGCTCAGCCAGCCTCTGAAGGTTTCCTAGTAAAGCTGTTATTAGCTTGGGTTCCCCTGGAAAGGAGGCTTAGAGGATCAGGCCTTCTTTCACTGTTTAATAACGGAACCCTGGGTCTTTTCAAGCATGTTTGTTCTGGCAGAGAACAGCCCCTCAGACAGACATGAATGGCAGTGTGCTAAAAGTCAGGGGAGAGCCTGGCAGGCCATGCCCAATGGGGAAACTGGGACAGGCCAGCTGGTCATGGCAGCCTGTTTGTGCTGATGGCCTGCCCCGGGGTGGCCCTGACTGGAACTCCTCTTGCCTGGGCATTCATCCACTCAGTCAGCCAGCCATTCATTCACTTGCATGTTTGTTCTAAAGACTGGGGATCCAGATGCGGCCCCTGCCCACAGGTAGTGCACGTCCTGGTAGAAGAGTGGATAGCAGACAGTGATCCCATGGCAGGTTTGATGGCGGTGAGCTCAGCAGAGAACAATGAGGCAGGGAAGCCAGGGAGTTGGAGTTTTGTGACATTTGAGAAAAAGGCAGAAGTTTTGGACGCAGAGGCAGCAGTGCCCATGTTGGAAGAGCAATGAGGAGGGAGCCAGTGTGGCTGGAACAGAGTCTGTGAAGGAGGGAGGAGAAGACAGGCCAGACAAGTAATGGGGTGGTAGGTAGGTTCACTTGGTCTGTGGAGACCATGCTGGCTTTCCCTCCGAGTGAGTGGCACCAATGTTGGGTTTTGAACAGAGGAGTGGCGGAGCCTCAGTCAGATTCTGATGGGATCCCTCTGGCTGCCCATTTTGAGAGTAGATGAAAGAAGACAAGGACAGAAACAGGCAGACCATTACATGAAAAATGTCCAGAGTTCATTGCATGAAAATGCAGGTGAGAGATGATGGTAGCCTGACCCCGGTGGTATTGGTGGTATTGGTATTGGTGGTATTGGTGGTATTTGAAGGTAAAGCAAGTAGTAGTTCCCTGCTGTAATGAAGCGTGCAAGAGAACAAGACAGAATTCAAGGGTAATTTCAAGCTGCTTTATCTAAGCAACTGGAAGAATAGGTTAGTTATTAACTCAGATGAGAAAGAACACAGGAAGTGCAATTGTTTGGAAGGAAGATGAAGAGTTCACTTTGGGGCTAGTTTGAGATTTCTATTAGAGGCTCCAGGTTAGATGTCAAGCAGGCAGTTAGACATTTAAATGTAGAAATTAGCAGGGCTGGGTTGGAGAGAGAGTGTGGGGCCATCGGCACAGGGTGGGGGTTGAAGACCTGCTGCATGAGACACTGTGGAGCATGTGTACACACAGCAGAGGGCCAGGGCTGAGCTCTGAGCTGCTCCCAGGTAAGAAGCCCAGGAGCAGAGGAAGAGCCAGCCAAGGGGCCTGAGAGGACTGGCAGTGAGGGAGGGGAGCCAGGGGTGAGTGGGTCACCAGAATCCAGGGAAGGAACCATCTAAGAGACGGGGGGCACTGATCAACGGCAGTATCCAAGGTCTGTAGTGCGGTCAGCGGGAAGAGAAGTGACATGAACCACAGTTCATTGACGGCGTGGACAAGGGTGGTTCTGGCAGAGTGTATGTGGGAAACTGGTAATGGCGGGTGTGAGAAAGCATGAGAGGAGGGGAATTGGAGTGTGAGCATAACTACATGGGGGCCACTGGAGTGAGTCACAGAGAAATGTGATCTGATAGTTTCAAAGCCCCACTCTGACTGCTGACCAGACAGGCTTGGGGGAACCTGGAGAAATATTTGCAGTGATGTAAGCAAGAG